GCTGCCAGAGAAGCAAAGTTTCCGTGGAAGGGGACACCAAGATGGATGGCCTCCTTAAAGCCATCTAGCCAGGCAGCAAACGTTCACTGAGTATCCACGTCCTAAAGGAACTCACGGCCAAGTAGATGACCTGTACAAGCAATTACAAGGCAAACAGGACAGAGCTACGATAATGGTAGTATTACAAAACTATGGGAGCACCCAGGAGGGGGACTCAGGGAACATTTTTCAAGTGGACAAGGGAGTTAAGTTTTTCACAAAACAAACAGCAGGGAGAAGAGAAACCCAAGGCTGGGAAAGCAAGCATAGTGTGCAAACGTCTGGAGCTATGAACACACACAGTCAGCTTGGGAAATGGCAAACGATGAGGCATAAGAGAAGGGAAAGGTAGGAGCTGAGGCCGCTCACAGTGCATCAGGATGAAACGCCATCGTGTCTCCCTAACACTCAAGTCAGAGGCCTGCAAGTTCACCCGAGGTTCTGTCCTTCTCATTCATGCCCCATTTCTAATTGGTCATCATCTCTGGGAGAATTCACCTTCCTCATCCTCCCTGAATCTTTTCATTCCTTTTGCTTCCTTCACTGCAATTCATTTACTTCGGATTCTCCCCATCTCCTCTGTGCTAATACAATAGCCCGTTATGACTGTTTGCTTTCAGTCCCGTCCCCTCCTGTTCACTCCGGACTCTCCGTCCAAGTGATCTTTCAGCAAAGAGGCTTCCGTTCTCCCAGAAACAATCCTGGATTTCTCCCTTCACCCATGCCCTCTGGACTTACAGAAAACTACTTTATTCCTATGGAAGAACTTACAACATTCTGCTTCATACTACAGTTAGAGTAAAGAGGCCATTCAATCTGTCTGCTTTATCCATGCTCGTTCCCAGAGACTCAAATCCCACAGTCCCTGCTGACCAGGCAGCGGACCGTGCAACCTTGGACCACTGCTTCTGGTAAAAATTACTGACCAGGGCAAATAACTGTCTCAGGCTAGACCAGTAAAATTTTCTACCCTAGAATTTCTGTATCATGACCTAGACTTCAGTGTGTCACCTGCAGGGGACTGGCAGCACCATTTTGTGGCCATGTACGCTTTTGAGCAGGTAGGCGGCTACGGTGCAGAGTGACACAGTCACAGAGCTCATGTGCAGAAAGCAGGACAGAAAAGATACCAGGTGGTGGCTGGACTTGTCAGGATCGTCAAGAGAGAAGCTGTGATTCTTCTGCCACTTTGTTGGTTCTGAGATCCTCATGAGGCCTGCCTCCATTTCCTTCCCTGGGTTTTAAGAGAACCACCAGTTTCTTATATTAATTTCTACTTTTATTTAAATTAGCTCAAGTAGGACTCCATTTCTTGGAATCAAATTAATCCTCTGACATTTACGTACAAGTCCTTCTGTGTGAGGCTGTAATTTCTTTGAATAAAGAAACCACACTGTGTTTACCTATTTCTCACATAATATAGCTGAGGGACTTACACATAGTTAGTTGATCAACGCCTGTCTCATGAACTGAATTTAACTACAGAAGAAGTAAATGACCTTGGGTTTGAATCATTAGGAGCAATGACAAAGACAGATGAAGGTCAAAACTTTTTAAGAACGGGGGCGCCTGGGTGGCTCAGTGGGTTAAAGCCTCTGCCTTAGGCTCAGGTCATGATCCCAGTGTCCTGGGATCCAGCCCTGCATCAGGCTCTCTGCTCGGTGAGGAGCCTGCTTCCTCCTCTCTCTCTGCCTGCCTCTCTGCCTACTTGTGATCTCTGTCAAATAAATAAATAAATAATCTTAAAAAAAAAAAAAACAAAAAACTTTTTAAGAACAGAGTGTAGGGGCAGGGAAGAAACTCAGAAGGCCACTTCAGCTAACCTCAGCTTTCGGGCACAGTCTCTGGGCAAGTGGACCACAAACGCTCACAGCTCACATCCACAGCAAGCACCACCTTCGTGCTCCTGGTCCAGACCTGGCAAAGTTGAGAGAGCAGGCCCAGGCAATCCTAGTCCAGGATGTTCTGACTGGGAAACAGTAACCTCAGTGCCTAAAGATCAGTAACTGATAGCCTGAACAAAATGGCAAGGCGACCCCCACCAGGCTCAACAGTGGCAGCCCAGACCCCTCAGAAGAGGGACGCCATCTGACAACCTCATCAGGAGAGCCTGCCACATTTTCTTTCTTCTTCAGATAAATTTTCTCTTCTTCACTAAGATCTTAAAAGGCATTATTTCCATAAATGACAACTTTTACTGTCTTTATACTAAGAAGGCAGAGCAAAACTTCGTAGTGTTTTCCATCCAAGTATGAGAACTTCAAATATTTTTGAGAAAAACATGACTAATATATGGCCATTATTTTAGAATGTTCTTTTTTGCAACTATCCTTGCTGCTTCAAAGACCTGAGTCCTTTTTCAACTGTTGTAATTTGCCCGCAAGGAAAAGAGTTCTTGATGAAGTAATGGCACAGCTGTGAAAAAGGAACCTGTAAGACCATTCCAGCAATAAGAGAAACTCACATCATGAAGATTTCTTGACTACACCCTTACAACTTGACGACTAAGGAAGCAGTCCAATCAACTATACACAATGGGATAAGGCAGATAAAAGACGAGGCTGGATTTCCTGCTCTGACGTGAAAGTCTTCCCTTTTCGCTGCCAAGCAGAGTGTGGCAGGCACAATCAACAGGGGCCAGGTGGCACAGCTGTTATCAGGCCTTTGGAGCTGATGGTGAGAAACTGGCAAGCTTCAGAAGACTATTTAGGACTCAAGGGGTTGACGTCACCTTTGGATAACGGGTTAGGTTTAAAAATGATGATACTGCAATCACTCCACTTGAGAGCAAAAAAGAAAGCAGACTTGCTCCTGAGTGGCTCTGAGATCATATAAATCACACCAATCTTCACATCACTGAAAAACTGGCACAAGACAGTGTTTCTTAAACGGCACAAGGTATAACACACAGATCTGATTTGACTTATTTTGCCAGGCATGAGAGGCTAAGTACTGAACAAATCCGATAAAAGCAGTGCATGGTGGCCATCCTTCCGATGTGGGTTCTCACAACCACCATTCCCACAAAGGCCCATCCTGTACATGTCAGATGACCAGCAAGCAAGTCACCAAACTGGCTCAGAAATGTCAGAACAAACTTCTCTAGCTTGTACACCTTTGTTTTCATTTTGTGCGATGCATAAACCAGACACCATCCATCTTAAAGGGCTAAAAATACAGCTAAAACTTACTATTGCTTTTCTTTCAAAATGAATACAATTATAAGAAGAAAACAGATACAGCTTTTGATCAAACAGCTGGGGCCAGCAGTTTCTTCCGAGCAAAATGAAGCGGTTTATCCATGATGCTCTGTGACCACATCATCTATATTTAAGTTAAACTGGTTTCTGCCACCTTCTATAAAAACACGGTACCCTTTCCTACTTACAGTCAGGCAACTTAATTTTTAACACCATAAGTAAAACCTAGGAAGGATAGATACCAACAAAGTGCATCATTAAAATATACTTTCATATTTATATTTTGGCAAAATAATAAATTAATTACATATGATTGGCAGATAGTTGTTGCTGACATATTATTATCTCAACGTTTGTGGAAAATTAATAAAAAATGTTATATACCATACAATCACAGGGGTCCCTGAAGGTCTCCAAACATTTTTTGAACTGGTTGACTTTCACCTACAAGACCTGGTCCCAGCCTTGAAGCTGCGGGAGGGGAAGCTTGCCACCCATGGTGGCTGCAATTTTCCCAGCCACAAGGAAGAGATTCTACTTGATATGAGAGGTCTTTTCTAAAGGGACCAACAAAGCCCCTGAAAGCAGAAAGGAGAGGAGACAGGGCAGAGGGGACTGGGGCTGAATGGGAGGGTAGTCACGGGGAAGGCAAAGAGCCCTCTCTAAGACCAGCCTTCCTCTGTGCTCACCAACAGGGCAAGGACTGCCCTGTAACAGCAGTAGGTAGCTCTGAGGAAAGAACGGTCTTCTAGTAATTTCCAGAACCTGAAGAGAGGGCCCAGCAGGATCCTTTAATGGATCCTGGAGTACCCAGAATGCTGGGGAGGTACTTGCCCTTTGTTAATGAGAAGCCCTGGCCAAAGGTCCCAGGACCTGGAAGGCACTGGTCAGGTTGTTTTGCAATGACAGCCCTTGACTAAGACAGCTGGGACCGCATGACCGCACTAGAATTGGTCACACCAGCTAGCTCCACAGTGACCAGCCCAGAACCGCGTGTCCTGGCCCCAGTGTTCCCAAGATACAAAGCGGACACCCATCCTGACGCTGGAGAACACGTGCAGGACCTGAAAGCAGACATTGTTGTTCCCCCGCTGGACGTGAAACGGGTGTAGCAGAGAATTTATCCAGGGCAGTCTGGCCGGCATCACTCAGACACAAATCTCAATCTTGCCACTATTTAGCAGCTCTGGCCACAAATCCTCCTCCTCCAGGTCCAAGACCTGCTTTTTGCGACATCAGCTGAAGGAATACACAAACTGGTCTGCAAGAGGGCCCCAGGCACCACTGACCTGTTTACCTCCACCACCCAGCCTTCCCACCTCTCCCCCCACCGTGCTCCCTCATATTTTATATTTTAAAGCACAGAGACTGAGGTCCCCTGGAATGCCTGGAATTTTGCATATTTTAATACCAGCATCTGAACAGAAGAGTCTGATTGTTCGATACAATAAATCCCTCACAGTTCACAGGTACAAACAAGGTTCATGACATAATGGGAAACAAGTAGAGATTCACAATGTGCTTATGTTTTATGTCCCAAACCAAAAACAAAAAGAGGTGACTGCCTGGCAATTCAAGGAGCCTACAGGTGACCAAAGTGATAGCTAAGAACAATTTCTGAAACACCAGGACCCAAATATGCCAAGTACCTATGTTTTAATAAAGAAATAATAATTAGAATACACAAAAGCGTTTACCAAAAGGCCACCTAAACTGAGCTCTGTGTGCGCTCTGTGGTTTTTCTTGCCAGAGATCACCTACCCCAGGGCAAAATTGCTGTCCTCCTTCCAGTCCACGATGCGGCAGATGAACAGTGTGTTGGCATAATCTTGAGGCCGGGTCACAAAGTCCTGGGGACAGTCCTTGAGAGGCACATAAATTCTAGGCACTCGGTGGTCCGAGGGAGAAAAGAGGGCGTATTTCCTAAACAGTTCACTGTTCTTATCAGCCAAGAGTTTGAGAAAGCCAGTTGCTGCCCGGGAATGTTTTTTCTCCAAGATGTAAACCACCTGAAAACACCAAAGATATAGTCAAATCTTGTTTATCTACAGGGCTGGATAACAGTTGGGAGAAGTCGGCAAGATATTATTTGGTCGATTAGCTAGGCCCAGCAGTTTCTCTAGGTCCAAACGAAGGGCCTCTCAGTGATGCTCTGTGACTGAATAATGCACATATTTTTAAAAATACTTCATTTATTTATTTGACAGAGAGAACATAAGCAGGGGGAGCAGCAGGCAGAGGGGGAGAAGCAGAAGGAGCAGAGAGCCTGATGCGGGCTCGATGTGAGGCTTGATCCCAGCATGCCGGGATGATGACTTGAGCCAAAGGCAGATGCTCACCAACTAAGCCACCCACGTGGTCCCTAAGTGATGCATATTTAAGCTGCAACAACTTAAGTATCTAGCAAGCATGGTTATCCAAGGCAAACCATGCAATACATGGACATATTACATGAAAGTGCTTTTATTTTTTTTTTAAAGATTTTATTTATTTATTTGACAGAGAGATCACAAGTAGGCAGAGAGACAGGCAGAGAAGGGGAGGGGAAGAAGGCTCCCTGCTGAGCAGAGAGCCCGATGCGGGGCTCAATCCCAGGACCCTGAGATCATGACCTGAGCTGAAGGCAGAGGCTCAACCCACTGAGCCACCCAGGTACCCATGAAACTGCTTTTATAACAAAGACCTTTGTCTTAAGGACGTATGTAAGACTCTAGCAGGAAGTATGGTTCCAAGTATTTGCCCTGCATTACATTTTTCTCACATGAAGAGTTGCTTTAAAAAAAAAAAAAATGTTATTAAACATAAATAAGGAATTGGTCTTTATTATGCCCTTAAAAGCTGGAAACCTGGGTGCCTGGGTGACTAGGTTGGGGCTCTCTTGATTCCAGCTCAGGTCACGATCTCAGGGTTGTGAGATTGAGCCCCGTATCAGGCAATACACTGGGCGTGGAGCCTGCCTAAGATTCTCTCTTTCCCTCCTCCCCACCCCCTACCCCCCAACCCCTGCCACCACTGCTCACCCTCTTTACCTCCTTCTCTAAAAAAATAAAAAAATAAATAAATACAAATAAAAAACCAAAGGCTGGAAACCTTTTCACCTTCCTTCTTTCCAACATTAAACCCATTCTCTCATTTCACCAGGCCAAGACTCAGGCCACCACAGCATTACAAGGACATACTATTTCCACCAAGAGAGACGCATTCTCGAAGAAGCTGAATCCCCCTCACCCACCCTGGGAAGTTCTTCTCCCTGAACTATTCCCCTTTCCCACTGCAGACAGTTTGCACTCTGACCCGCTCACCAAATTACTTGCCAGCATTCCACTCTGACCACTGAGCAAAGGTCCAGACTGCTGGTGAGCTGGCTGCCGCTCTTGTTCGTGTCTCTGACTCCACGTGGGGCCTCAGTCTGTCTGCCAAGAGCCTCCAACCAGGCAGCGTGCCTCTCCTCTGCCCCAGGGACACCTGGTTGCTACCCCGAAGGACATCTGTCCTCTCCGCAAATCTCAGTCCCGTGAGACGCTCTCATTCTCCTGACCCTTCCTTCCTCCTTGGAAAACACCACTGTTTTGAACAAGCTGCCGTGTCCTCTGTACAGGAATCCTTGACTGCGTCCTCACGTGTGTTTGTCTGTCCCAGGCCCTTTGGACAGATGCTGCTCCTTCTCCACACTCAGGCCCTTGTTTTCCTGTACTGTCACATCCAGACCATACTCTTCCCACCTCGTGTGCATGCCTGCAACCTTTCATGGTTCAGGCTGTCGCCTTCTTGTTACTGTCATCCACGGACCTCCTAGTTTTTCTGCAGTACCTGGCTTACACTTCCCAGTGAATGACTCAGCCACTGTCTTGCCCTCACAGTCCCCATACCTCCTCAGTACCAGTGGCCCTCACTTCCGTTCCATTTTGGCAACTCATCCTCACGGCCACCACTCAGCATCCTCAGATCTAATCCCAATCATCTCAGACTGACCCATTGTCCAGGTCCCCTACTCTCCTGGGCCCTGCTCCATGGCTTCTTCACCACATCAAGCCTACTGGCGCCTTGACCGCAGCCTGCTTTCTGTGTCTGTTTGCTACTTCTTCAGCCTGAATCCTTTCCTCCCTCTGAGGGACATCATCTTCCAGCACTTCTAGTCCTCTCACCTCTGTCGTCAAATGCCTCACCTCTCTTCCCCTTCCACTGCACCCACCCTAGAAAATCCTCAATTCTGGGACAGTTTGGCCACTGCTATTCTCCAACCTCAAACACAAGCTATGGAGTCCATCAGAAGAAAATTACAGGGGCGCCTGGGTGGCTCAGTGGGTTAAGCCTCTGCCTTTGGCTCAGATCATGATCTCAGGGTCCTGGGATCGAGCCCCACATCAGGCTCTCTGCTTGCCTCTCTGACTACTTGTGATCTCTCTCTCTGTCAAATAAATAAATAAAATCTTTAAAAAAAGAAAGAGGAGAATTACAATGATGCAGATAGAAGATGGACACCATTCTACACACATTCATGTTATATAATCGTTGCTCCAACCTCAAAATCTCTCGGGTATTTTTAACCTGCTCCCAGTTAGCACAGTCTATAAGCCCCACTCTCCTGATGCTCCCCTCCTTCTAGGACTCCAGTGGTCTGAATGCTGAATCTACCTTATAGTCCCACAACTTCCTGAAGCTCTGTTCACTTTTTCTAGTCTATTTTCTCTCTGTTCAGCGGGGTAAATTCAACTGATCTCTTCTCAAGTTAACTAATTCTATGCTGAGTCACCTTTACTACTGTGTCTGTCCTCTGAGTATTTTATTTCTGTTCCTGTGTTTTTTAGTCCTGTAATTTCCACTTGGTTCTTTTTTTTTTTTTTAATAACCTTTATTTCTTTGCCGAGATTTTCTAATTTCTCACTTGTTTTGAGTTTTTCATCGCTTGTTGAAGCGTATTTATGATGGCTGATTTCAAGTCACCGTCAGCTGCACCGTCTTGGTGTCACCATCAGTTAGTTGTCTCTCCTCACTCAGGTGATGATGTCCTGGTTCTTGGTATAATGAACGATTTTCTTCTGTACCTGGACCTTTTGACTATTATGTTGGGAGATGCAAGGTCTTACTGAAATGTTTTCTTTTAGAAGGCAGGTCACCCTGTCTTGTTTTAGCACAGAGACCCTGAACTACTTTTGTGGGCTCTAGTTCCAATGACAATTTCATCAGCAAAGACTGCACAGTAGCATTTTGATGTCTGGCTGACATGCAACCACTGGGGCTCCAGCCGCTCTCTGCCAGTACTGCCTGAGGGGGTGAGGAGAACTTCCTCAGGGCTGGCCACCTGGTCTCTCCAGTACAGATCAGGAACAGATTCATGTCCATGCAGGGACAAAGAAACTTCCCATCCAGGTTGTTAGTTGTGGTAGGACCCTGCTGCTGCCTGTGTGCCGAGGGTCTCTGGCTGGGAAAGCAGGGTCTCAGACCCATGAGGGAAAAGGTCTCCTGGACCATATACTTGTTGGGGGAGGATCCTCCTTACTGGTGTTCACCAGTCATTTCCTACTTCTGGAGGAGGAGGGAGGAGTCCCTAACTGACTTGCCTTCCTCTCTTCACCCTTCGGAATTCTGCCTCCTGTTATTTTCCAGGGTTTATAGCTGTACTACCAGGAAAGAACAAGGAGAAACGAGTCTATGCCCTCTTGTCTGAACTAGAAGTCCTTGTTTTTTGTTTTAATATCTGACAGCACGAGAAGTATATGAAGTAGCTTGACATCACCTGTGATTCCTACATTAGTTGGAGAAATGACTTGGTCACAGTGTAAATTTTCCATACATGTGCTGCATTGCCTTGTGATTTTTTTACTGAATTCACTAAGAAGCTATCAAAACAAACAAACCAAACCAGCAAGAGAGAGAGTACCATTGAGGGGGCAGCAGCAAACTGCAGAACACAAGTTCCACCTACAGGGGGGGGCCTGTACTCAGCTCGGACTAAAGTCATTGAAGAATGTGGCCCAGTGTTGTCGGATGTTTTGTTTCATCAAGAGAAGCCAGAAGTCTCTCTCTCTCTCTCTCTTTTTTTTAGTAAGCTACTTAGTCAAAATTTTTAAATGCTGCAGAAGTCACACAAAACACAAGTTTATAAGCCAGATCTAGCCCACAGGCTTTTCATTCATTACAATCTTCTATACCTAGCATGCTGCCTGGTATATGGGTATATGATTAGTATTCAAAATGCTTATTAAAACAATTGGTAGGCAGTTGAGGGTAACATAAATGTAATATAATTCAGAAATTCCTCGTGTCAATCTGCAAGAGGTGCTAGACTGAGGGGCAACACTACCACCGCAAGTCGAACATGCTGAAGGGGGTCTGTGGCAGAGAAAGCCTCCTGCTTATTACCACCCACTGAACCACTTCTTCTACCACAAGCTATCTGCACAGCTAGGGTCAGCCGTGTTTGATCCCATATCTGAATATGCCACTAGCATATATAACTGAAAAATAAAACTGAACTATGCAAAACAACAGACAGGATGCAAAAGCAGTTTTTTGTGTCTACAATAACTAAATTAAATACTTGGGGGAAAACTAAAAAAGGCATTAAAAACTTACTTTTGAATTTGATGTGGACATGACAACAATAAAAAAAACTGAAGCAAAAAACTAAGAATATAGAAGGCATCTACATTCATACTGTTTCACGTAGTGCCTAAATTCTCACTCCACTTTACATAACCCGAACTGGAAATCAAAGATGTCACGTTAGGGGAAACTTGGTGGCTCAGTCCTTAAGTGTCTGCCTTCGGCTCGGGTCATAATCCTAGGGTCCTGGGATTGAGCCCCACATCAGGCTCCCTGCTTGGCAGGAAGCCTGCTTCTCCCTCTCTCACTTCCCCTGCTTGTGTTCTCTCTCTGTGTTTCTCTCTGTCAGATAAATAAATAAAATCTTAAAAAAAAAAAAAAAAAGACGTCACATTATGAGTGTGGTTTAAGCAGAAAAAGATAATACAGAACTTCAGTAAACATACCTACACACAAAGGAAAGTCTGTGGACTTTCATCCAAACACAGGCAAATCAACATATATGTATCCCTTTAAAGTTATACAAAATATTAGCTTTTTATGATTCCTTGCTCCCACTGAATTGCATGAGACCCCTCTGACAGGTAGCTCAGGTGACAGTCATTTGGACATATGCAGAAAATCTGTGGGCAATGACCTTTGCTGATCTTTGCAGCGACTTCTCCGGTAAAGCTCTTGGGTCCTGTGATGTGGAGGTGCTCTCATCTTTTGTAACGGGAGCATCAGCATCCTCTTTTCCTAAAATAAAAAGAGAGAGGAAAAAGAGAGAAGAGGAATCAGTTAGATGCCTATCTAATAGGCATACACACTCACAGGATTTTTTTTTAAGATTTTTTTTTTTTTTTTAGAGAGAGAGAGAGAGAGCACGCACATGCAAGTGTGCGAGCGTGAGTGCGGGGAGGGGCAGAGGGAAAGAATCTTCCGAGCAGACTCCTTCCTGGCTGAGCAGGAGCCAATGCGGGTCTCAGTGTCCCGACCCAGGAGATCCTGACCTGAGCCGAAACCAAGAGTCGGACTGAGCCAACCAGGCGCCAGGTGGGATTTTAAATTTGGAGCACCGTTTATTTATCCTAAACTACTCACTTTACAGAAAAGGAAACCCTAGCCCACAGTAGTCAGGAGACTCAGCTAAGGTCAATCACATCACCAACTTGCATGAATGTGCTTACACTCAGGGGCCCACATTTGAGCTATTTAACGTTATTCAAATGCTAAGCATCATATAAGTAGAGATATCGAACTACGCTGAACTGAGCTAAATGGGTTAGGCGTCAAAATGCCAAACATACTAGATGTGAAATACTGCTCCAGCCCACAGTGAAGAAGAGAGATAGGTTAATTTATTATGCACATCTGCTGAAATCAAAATAAATGTTAACTTTTAAAAGTACTTTGGTACCAGCCATAACAAACAAAATGGGGGAAAATAGATTATATTTATTAAATAAATAAATAAATAAGCCAACCCTGATTTTCCTGGCTTTTCTTAGTGACATTATATAAAGAGTATTTAATGTCTTTAAATGTTTAATTTCCTTTCTTAAGAAACTTATAAAATGCACATTCACCCAAGAAACTGAAACCACATCTCCCTAATAAAGAGGGAAGTTAGGCTCTGTACCAGAAGTATTAAAACCACTCATGAACAAATGCAGCAAATTACACACTTCTGAACATTTAATATTTTGTATTTTCATATTTTACTTTAGAGATCCCCCACAAAATAGTCTTATCCAACTATACTGGAGTTTCTGGATTTTAGGGGTCACAGCGCATTCATGTGGGCTCCACTCCAGATAGCTAAGAGAGACTTGTACTTATCATCATTTAGACATTACCAAGGCCAAAATAAATAAATAAATCCTTTTCAGGACTGGCTGCCTCTTAGCCAAAGCTCAGTTTTAAGGCCAAGTTTTACCATTCTGGGCGTACTCTGGAAACACTGACATGATCTGACCTACTGGGGTTTAAGAATGATCAACTGTTTGCTTTTCCATCTATGCTGAAATATGCCTACCATAGTGCCCACTGAAAGCAGAATTCTCAATGTTTTCCCAAAAGAAAAAAACAAATGAGAACTTTCCCATTGTTGATCACCCTGTCCATTAGTAAAAGAGGATATCCATCTTAGATGATATCCACAGTTCAGGATTTTAGACCATAGTTTAGGATTCCAAGGTCATTAGACGCTTCCTGAACCACATCTTTTATACTCTTGGGGAGGAAAAAAACCCACACAACTTGTTGATCTGCTCCATAACGTATCTTGCCAGTGTGCTCCACAGAACGAGGTCATTCAGGAAAGATTAGGAGGCTGGAAATACCATGAACCAGCACATTCTACCTAGATATCTGCTATCTGAACTTTAAGTCTCAAGAGTTGGCAATCAAGGGGGTTTTCTAAGGCATCCCAAATCCTGGGCATGCAACCTTCTATCACAGTCACTGATGGTTCCAACTTAAAATGACTATTGCCTTGGACTCCACCCTAACAACAAGCAAGTCTTCTGTTCCAAAGGTTATGCCAGGTTGCATCCAAAGAAAGAGGAGTAGCCAAGGAAGCGAGCCCAACTGTGATTTTCCAATATCACACCTACACATGACCTTTCCAGGTTCTGAGTTCATAAGGATATCCTGACAGAAACGAAGCTTTGTTCAAAGATGCATTACAATCAATCAAACTGAAGTTTTCAGCCCTGCAGGTGAGCATCAGAGATACGTTCAACAAATGTGAGGAAACACAATTACAGGTTAGAAAGGTGAACCACCTTCATAGGTTTCCAACAACTACGTCTCCCTACCCTAACAGCAAAGTTGTCAGGTTAATGAGAGATCTGACACACTGTTTAATCATGAGATTCTTCATTTATTCATTTATTCCATGTCTATTTATTGAGCAATGCGCATTAAGGATTCAGTGAATGAAAGAAATATGGTTCCAGCCCTTAGAGAACATATACTTTATGCACGAGTGATATTCAATAAATAACCACTCAATCAATAAATCGTGATGAAGGCGAAGAAGGAAAGAACAGTTTCAAGGAGGAAGAGTTCTCTCAATATACAACTTAGATTAAGAGGTCAGGAAAAGAGGCCCTGCATGGAAGTGACATTTAAACTGACACCGCAGGATGGTGTGTTGAGGAATAAAGAAAGGGACAGAAGACCCCAGGTAGGAAATGGTACTGGGAAGGGACAGAGGTGAGAGGTGCCTGGCACAAACGAGGAACAGAAAGAAAACCAGGTAGCTGGAGCATAGTGAGGCTCAGAACGGGCATGCAAGGGATGAGGGTGAGCGGTAACAGGAGTCAAGTCAGCTGACGTCTTCTAGGATTGACACGTCCTAAATTGGAACCTGGATACAAGGGGAAGCTGGCAAGGATTTGTGCATGAAAGTGACACTGCCCGAGGGCAGGTTCAAGCAGGCTGAGAGCAGAGGCAGGGAGGCCAGCGAAGAGCTACTGGAGCAGTCCAGACATGTGAGGATGGTGCTTCGATAGAGGCACTGTAGGGAATGAAAAGGATCAACATCAGGCACATTGTACACTTGAACAAAGAGATTTTAATGGTGATCAGACAGGAAACCCTACAGATCATTAGCTATGAGAAGTGAAGGGTGATTTCCAGCTTTCTGACATCTGCAGCTAGTTTGATAGAGGTATCATTATTGGCACAGGAGAGACTAGAGGAGGAGGTGGAAACCACGAGTTCTACTTCTGAGGTGTTCCTCTTTGAGCTACCTATGAAACCTTCAAATGATGACGCTGAATAAGCAGTTCAATATAAAGGTCTGGAACTCGAAGAGAGGTCCAGGCTGTGGTTTAAACACAGTCTGTAGGCTGAGTCCTTCCATTTCTGTACTTTCCAGGCCAAGCTGGAGAGAAGAGATTCAAACCCAAGTGTGTTCCACTACTAAGTTCAGAAAGCTCTTCTTCCACTGCTATCTGGCTCCAGGAATTAGTGTTATGTTGTCACTGTTAAGGAGATTAAAAAAACTGCCCTGAGGGAGTGACCTGGGCTTGTAAGATGTATGGATGTGAGAGAGATGAGAAAGTGAAAGGACACTGCAGGTAAGGCCCAGAGCTGGGAAAAGGCTTGACAGGGTAAAGGACTAGCAAGAGGTTTATTGTAGCCACTAACAGCCTGAAGATACAAGGGCTGGGTGAGAAGGCTCTGGGGTGCGGAGAGGAAGGAGGATGGCAGAAAGGTCCTGCGGCAGACACTCTGATTACTGCCCAAGATCTAGTCTCTTCTTTCCTGGCAACAAGGACTCCAATTTCAGCTGGGAAATTGGGGAAACCTAGTTAATAGACTACATTTTTCAGCTTTCTTGCAACTTAGTGTAGCCTATATGTCTAAGTTTTAGCCAGCAAAATGCAGGTGAAGGTGTTGTAAGTGACCTCCGGGAAGTGTCCTTAAAAGACGGAGGCCCAGCCTTCCCTCTTTCTTCCTTCTTGCTGGTTGGAATGTGGATGTGACAGCTGGACCTCAAGCACTCATCTTGGTCCCAGAGGCTGCAGGACAAGGGTGTTTCTACACCAGAGAGCAGCACAACAGAATGGGCTTAAAACTATGGAACTACTCTCTGAGCCCTGGCCTGCCTACCTCTGGTCTTCTTTTATATAACATAGAAATAGGTTTCTTTCTTATTTAAGTCACTGATATTTTATGATTTAACTCCATTCTCAACAGAACATACTTTCTAACATAAGATCTAAACCATGAACTGACAAGCCTGGACACTATCCTATTAAGCATTTTGATGGTAAGGGACATATATGTCTCAGGGCTATGAGTTTGGAAGCAATGCTGAATGAAGATCTTAGAAAGCTGGGAGCAGGGCTGCTGTCGAGCTGAGACACAATCAGAATCTGAATTAGACAGTGGCAGTGAGAGCAAAGAGAGATGAAATTGGAGAGACATGTCTGAGAAGAATGACGCTAAGTATATTTCCATCACAATGGATGACTTAGTATATGAAAAATGGGCTTAAATTAAAGGAGCTTTTGATTGAATATCAGGAAAAAATGGCTTGACAGAGCACTAAAACTCTATGATGAAATTACTTGAACAGGGCAGGCTGGAAGTCCTCATAAGGGTGGAGGGTTATGCGTCCCCACAGCCTTTGGTTTTGCCATAGTGAAGGCAGAGATGGCCCATGCACTCTGTGGCCCCTTCTAGTTCAAAAGATTCTAGAAACTAGTGACTACCAAAATTCTTCATCTAAAAGAGAGAATTTTCTAGGAAATAGATAAACTACTAATACAAGCAACTATTCATTATATCCCCCAACACATACTCTAGGAAGGAAAGTCGAGTGAAATCCTAATCTCTTTCTACAGATTGTCTAAAACTTCTATTTTAAACATTTAAAAAGTAAAATGCCATGGTTTGGTAGGGTTGGTATGGCCACTTACATCTATCAAGTGCAAACCTAATACCTGATTCTGGTAAGAAAAATGATTCTGGGGGCACCTAGATGGCTCAGTGTGAAGTATCAGACTTCAGCTCAGGTTATGATCTCAGGGTCCTGGGATCGAGCCCAGGGTGGGGCTCCTCACTCAGCAAGGAGTCTGCTTGATTCTGTCTCCTCTCCCTCTGCCCCTCTCCCCACTCATGCTCTGTCTCTTTCTCTCTCAAATAAATAAAATCTTTAAAAAAAATTACCTTGATTTGGTCCTCTCATATATAAACAACAGACTAACAAGTCTCATGATTCTTAACACTTCACAAATGCATCAAAAGGTCTTCAGATGATTTGACTGTGACGCCAAGTGGGGGTAATGTGAAGAAAAAGGCAAGAAATTGGGCAAAAGGAGTTTCAATCTATCCAGTTAAACAAATGACATCCCAGAAAGGGTGAGGAACATGTGCAAAGGCACACAATTGAGAATAAATGGGAGAAGGAGGAAGGTTCAATGTTCAAATAAGCTGAAGAGACCAGGCATGAAAGGCCTTATATGACATGCTGAAGAGCATGTATTTTATATTATAGGAACAGAAAGCTATTGAAAATTTTGAGAATGCCATGATCAGAATCATATTTGGTAAAAGGTCAGTCTGCTGCTCCTATGAAGAGAATCTTTTTCTCTAGCTGGTTTTATGATTTTCTCTTGGCTTTTGATTTACATCTTGATGCACCTAAGTTAGGATTTTTAAAAAATTTTACTTGCAATCATTAGTCATCTTAAATCTGTGGTTTGGTATCTCAGCTGTTACGGAAAATTTCAGCCAGTACCCTTAAATTTCATTTTGCTTATTTTTTCACTCATCTCCTTCTAAGACTTTAACTTATTTATACCCTTCTTGTCTGTGTTTTCTATTTGTCTATCCATGTTATACTCTGAATAATTTTTTTTTTACTGTCTTCTAGTTTGTTAATTTTTTTTTCAGCTTTATCCAGTCTTCTATTAAATTCACCCACTGAGGCATTCTTCTTTAAACTATGCTATCAAATATACTACATTTTTCCTCATCCACTGAATTAATTTCATTAAAGTTATGCTTATTTCTAGAATTTTTATTAGGTTCCTTTTCCAATTTGCTTTGTCACATATCGTAGTTTCCTACTCTTTGCAGATATGTTCACGCTTATCTTTTATTTCTTTAAATACAGTAGTTGCTTACAGATTCCATGATCTGATAACATGTATGAAGGGCTGGTTCTATTGCATGTGGTTGTTGATGGTTCTTGCCACTGCGATATGGTTTCCTTGGGTGCCTGGTTATATTTACATGCTCATCAATGAATAATTTGAGGCCTGGGTTGAAGAAACTTTCCTTCGGAAAGGATTTCCACTTGGTTTTGCCAGGTGCCTGGAGGAATACCAGCCCTTAAGCCAATTCAAGACTTGAGATTCCTTGGTTGACCCAGTCAGCTTGAACCTGGGTTGTAATTCCATGTGAGCTCACCCACATGGCAGAGCCCTTTGGAGTCCCAGCTTCTTGTGAGACCCCAGCTGCTTTATTTCTGTCCCCCATTACTGCTGGTCAAATACGCAATATTGTCTGCTCTTTAATGTTCAAAGTTTGGGGTCTTTTTTTTTTTTTTTTTTACTTTATGCAAGTATTTTTAGTTGTTTCAGCAGGCAGAAGTGTGTTTGAATGATAGCCCACCATTACTAGTGACAGAAAGTCCCCAGGATTTATATTTTACAAATATTTTTCAGGTGGCACTGTAGAGCATAGTTAGGGAGAGTGACAGGTGAGAACAGGGGAGGGGACAGTTGTGACCTGTGCAGGAAACACAACAGGAGATAGTAAGGAAGACAGTAGGAGATAGTAAGGAAGCCACTATGATAATGCCAAATGTTTCCTAAGGCAAAAGCACGAGGAACAGAGAGAAGAGGCAGGTACTCTCACATTTATTTTTCTCAGCAACCCCATGAAGGAAGTATTACTATTTTGATTTTTAGAGAATAGCCATCAGCCATTCAAAGAGGTAAAGGAACTTATCCCAGGGTTTATCCAAAGAAGTATTTAGTAGAGGGGGTGTCAGAACCCAGCACGACTCCAAGTCCAACCACCACAATATGATAAGATCTGGAAGAAAGTTACGTGTGGGTGGGTTCCAATGAGGAGGAGAGGGTTGCCAAAAATTTTATAATTCAGTTACAGACATTGAAAATTTTTAAATTTTACAAGATGGCAAGTAATAAACAGCTCTCAATACAATTTCACTGCTTCCACCCATAGGAAAGATAGAGTAGTTAAATGCATGAGCTTTGAAGTCACAAGACCTAAATTCAAACCTCCGTCCTGTGACCTTGAATTATGTGATTTTGACACAAGTTATTCCTTCCCTGTGAATTTCCTCCCCAGTAAATCTGGAATAGTTTACATGATTTATGTTTACAGGGAGTACCCTGGCACAAAGTACAATAACCAAAACTGTTAGATACTCTTAATATTGTTGTTGTTATCATTATCATTATCATTATCATTATCAATATTATCATTGTTAGCTCTTACAGTGAGTTTTGAGGGAATACAACCTTGTCATCCTGGGCACAACTGACTGGACGTGGTTGGTGTTCAGGACGATGGTAACATTATAAAATGGGTGACATTTCCTCCTCTGTAAAATGTAACCAATCTTATAGGGTTAATGGGAAAATTAAATGGAGTTAATGTGTGTAAAAGTGCAACAGTGGCTAGAAACAGGAGGCACTCAATGACTGCTATATAATGTATATTTAAAGTACTCATTACTTTTCTGAATGCTTGGTGCCTTCTGTGTGAAGTAAGGAGAAACAAAAGAGCTGGTGCGAGAGAGGCAGGCAGAGGCCAGGTCAACATCAGGAAGTCTGGATTTACTCCAAAGGCAATGCAGAGCTATAGAATAAAGTAGGCAGGAGACTAACAGGACTTATGCTTTAAGAAGCTCACACTAGGGGCGCCTGGGTGGCTCAGTGGGTTAAAGCCTCTGCCTTCGGCTCAGGTCATGATCCCAGAGTCCTGGGATCAAGCCCCGCATCGGGCTCTCTGCGCAGCGGGGAGCCTGCTTCCCCTTCTCTCTCTCTCTGCCTGCCTCTCTGCCTACTTGTGATCTCTATCTGTCAAATAAATAAATAAAATCTTTAAAAAAAAAAAAAAGCTCACACTGGCTGTGTTCAGAGTAGATTCAGGAGAAGTGAGACAGGAGACAGAAAAGCCACTTAGAGGTGTGCCTGGGTGGCTCGGTCAGTTAAGTGTCTGCCTTCAGCCCAGGTCATGATCCCAGGTTCCTGGGATGAAGCCCCACAATGGGCTTCCTGCTCAGCAGGGAGTCTGCTTCTCCCTCTCCCTCTGCCTCTTTCCCCTGCTCATTCTCTCTCTCTCAAATAATAAAATCTATTAAAAAAAGAAAAAAAAGAAAGAAAAGCCAGTTAGCTTTTAATGCTTGAATCACACTAGAGAGGTAGTTAAAAGGCTAAACTGACAAGATTATGTGAATGCTAATTGAAGGGAAAAGAGGGAGGTCATAGGGGAGAGTAAGGAATAGGGAAAACCAGCATCAATTCCTTAAATAGAAGTTCTCAGAGTTCTCTGACCAGCAGCAACAGCATCACCTGGGAACTCCCAGAAGTGCAAGTTCTCAGGCCCCACCCCCAGATGGAGGAACTCAGGACTTCTGGGGGGGTGGGGCCCAGCAGTTTGTTGGAACAAGCTTCCCAGGGGGTTCTGATTCTGAGTCACACTGAAGTGTGAGAGCCACACTGTAGACAAATGGGCAGTGAGCCACCACAGGAAGAGCATCTCCAGGCAACCAGGAGGCGATCTAAGTTCTAGTAGCACTTGGTAAGTCTGAGGTGATCTGATGCTTAAGAGAGAAGTCTGGGCTAGAGGCGGAGATGAGGGCGTCTCCTATGTACAGAGGGCAAATGGATGAGTGGACTGGCCTCCTCAGAGAAGGTTTCGAATTAGAAGAGTCAAAGCAGGGAGAAACACCAATATTTAAGAAAGCAGAAGCAGAAAAGCCTACAAGGAAACTGAGGTACAGTTAGGAAAGTAGGAGAAAAATCAGGCTAATGTGGGGTGAGTCAACCAAAACAAACAAACAAAAACAAAAACCAAAAAACCAACCAAACAAAAAAACTACAAAACAAGCATTTCAACATGGTCAGCAGAGTGGCCCTAGAATAACAAGGTCACAGGCAACCCTTTCGAAGATTGAAAGAAGGAAACACCGCTCTGATGAAATCATCTATAGGAAGTGCCATCAGAAGCGAAAGAAGGAAACACAGTGAAGTCCGAATGCAACGCGTGGGGAACGGAATGAAAGGTAAACGGAGGAAACGAGGGTGTGGACTAGGCTCCGGAAGTCTGACTAGGCAGGACTGGAATAATACAGGGTGGTAGCTAGAGGGGTACAGAGAACTCACGAACTCATTAGTTTATTTTTTTAAGATAAGGGAGCCTTGGTCATGATTAATTGCTGATGGGAAAGAACCACTACAGGAGGTGTGGTTGAAGACGGCACAATGAGGACTGGGAGGAGGCCCTGGGCAGGAAGGGATGGTATCAGAACCCCGGGGTAAAGATTAGCCTCGGGCAGAAGGACAGAGATGCCACTTTCTCCGCAGGAAAACAAATTAGGGAGGGGATGAGTCTAGGCGTTAAGTCGCTTGCGAACGTGGTGGCTGAAAGTTGAGGGGGACCATGGAGGGCGGGGTAGAGCAGCTTTTCTCTGAAACCTACAAGCCAAACTATCTGTTGAGAAGTGCTAGAGGAGGATACCCACTACATTCCAAGCTGGGAAAGACAATTCTGGGGAGGATCAAATGCGAGTGGCATCTCCAAACAGTGGCCCTGAACATGCCAGGCACTGTGCTCTGTGCATTCAAAATAAAACTACTAACTAGTTATTGAGCACCTACTGCACACGTCTGGCACTGTGTTACATGATTTACATACACAACCACATTTTATATTCTCCAATAATCCAATGAGGTAGGCAGGTATTATCATGCCAATTACCCGATTAGAGAGATAGAAGAAATGAGGCTTACAAAGATCAAGTAACAGGCTTGCCCATGGGTGCCAGCCTCATGTATGCGGGCACCTCAGGCCCTTCCCATGATGCCACACAGCCTTCAGGATCCTAACAGGTTTGACGAAGTGAGAATGGAAAAGAAAACAGGATTTCTGAGAGATCTGGCTGAGTGATAAGATAATGAAAGAAGCCAATCACTCTGGGGCAAATTTTGAGTTTGGGATGACAATGGGATACAAGTACGATAATGTCCTCTACGCAGGCTAGAGATAAGGCTCTACATCTCCGGGCAGAGGTTGGGAACATCAGTTAGATAACAATGTCTGAGAGTAGACAGATGGGTAGAGACTGGGGAAAGGAGGACATGACATATTAAGAGAAAAGGATGAATAAAGGGATGAAAAGAGTTAATACTCAAGCAGTAAGAGGAAAAATCCCTTTGCTATCGATTTTTTATATTGTTCTAATCTGCATACTCATTGTGGCAGGTTTGGCCACCCTCCTCACCAGGCTGACCATGCAGAGATGCCTTCAGGTTCCTGATTTGAAGCCAAAACCTAGATAGTGTAGCTTTCAGGCCCAAACTTGAGTTTCTCACAGAGTCATCTTCTCAGATGGGGCTCTGCACTGATTCCCATTCCCAGCTGTTAACTGTATTAATTACATCATCAACACTCTCCTGCTTTACTCGCACTCTCTGCTCCAAATCTTTCTCTTGCCCAGAAGAAATCACTTTTAAATTTCTCTCTACTAAAGCTTTAATTGGCTTTTAGCCTCATGGCTCCCCAAAGACCCAAAATGTAGGCACATAATGTAGCTGGCTTTAACTTACTAATTCTGCATCTTTCCCAGCAGACGGATGATTCCTCCAAGTTTAAGTTGACTTTCATCGGAGTTTTTCTTAAAGGGGCCAACCTTTAAATCTTAATGTGATGTGATTATTTCAACACCAGAACACAGTGTTTACTAAAATCAAACCCGTGTTTCTTTCCCAGACTTCTCAAGACTAGCTATCCATCAAAACTTCAAAAAATGGAAAACCAAAGCTGGCAGCATCACAATTCCAGACTTCAAGCTCTATTACAAAAGCTGTAATCATCAAGACACTGGCACAAAAACAGACACATAGATCAATGGAACAGAATAGAGCCCAGAAATGGACCCTCGACTCCATGGCCAAACATCTTCGACAAAGCAGGAAAGAATGTCCAATGGAAAAAAAATCAGTCTCTTCAACAAATGGTGTTGGGAAAATTGGACAGCCACATGCAGAAGAATGAAACTGGACCATTTCCTTACACCATACACAAAAATAGACAAAAATGGATGAAAGACCGCAGTGTGAGGCAGGAATCCATCAACATCCTTGAGGAGAACACAGGCAGCAACCTCTTTGACCTCAGCAACTTCTTCCTAGAAACATCGCCAAAGGCAAGAGAAGCAAGGGCAAAAATGAACTACTGGGACTTCATCAAAATCAAAAGCTTTTGCACAGCAAAGGAAACAGTCAACAAAGCCAAAAGACAACTGACAGAATGGGAAAATATATTTGCAAATGTCTTATCAGATAAAGGGCTAGTATCCAAAATCTATAAAGAACTTATCAAACTCAACACCCACAGAACAAATAATCCAATAAAAAATGGGCAGAAGACATGAACAGACACGTCTCCAAAGAAGACATCCAAATGGCAAAGAGACACATGAAAAAGTTCTCAATATCACTTGGCATCAGGGAAAAACAAATCGAAACCACAGTGAGTTACCACCTCACACCAGTCAGAATGGCTAAAATTAACAAGTCAGGAAATCAGGAAATCGCCAACAGGTGTTGGCGAGGATGTGGAGAAAGGGGAACCCTCCTACACTGTTGGCGGGAATGTAAGCTGGTGCAGCCACTCTGGAAAACAGTATGGAGGTTCCTCAAAAAGTTGAAAATAGAGCTACCCAATGACCCAGCAATTGCACTACTAGGTATTTACCCTAAAGATACAAATGTAGTGATCTGAAGGGGTACCTGCACCCCGATGTTTATAGCAGCAATGTCTACAATAGCCAAACTATGGAAAGAGCCTAGATGTCCCTCAACAGATGAATAGATAAAGAAAATGTGAGATACATATATATATGAATGATGCACCCATCAAAAAACCCAAAATCTTGCCATTTGCAATGACATGGATGGAACTAGAGGGTATCATGCTAAGCAAAATAAGTCAATAAGAGAAAGACAATTACATGCTCTCCCTGATATGAGGAATTTGAGAAGCAAGACAGAGGATCATAGGGGAAGGGAGGGGAAAAATGAAACAAGACGAAACCAGAGAGGGAGACAAAGCATAAGAGACTGGAAGGTGGGAGGGACGGGGTGGTTGGTGGATGGACACTGGGGAAGGTATGTGCTATCATGAGTGCTGTGAATTGTGTAAGACTGATGATTCACAAACCTGTACCCCTGAAACAAATAACACATTGTATGTTAATTAAAAAAAAAAAACTTAAAAAAATGAAAAAGGTGCTAAGCTATCTTGGAGGATTGAGTAGAGACTGGTCTCAAAGCATGGGAAGCTAGATTAGATGAGTTTTGTTGTGTTCTGAGTCTTCAATTCCACATATATCAAACCTATATCCTCTCTCTCTTATGTTTCAGCCTCTTAAAGCATACCCTACTGAACATCTCCCACAGGAATGATAAGGTCCAGCCCACTGTTGGGAAAAGGGGACAGAATTAAAATGCTGCCCTTCCAAGAGCCAGTCTTCTTTATCAGTTCACTTGCTGTGACCTAAAAAAGCAGGACCACAAAGTGATCATTAGGAGGCAAAAGAAAACAGACAGCTTGAAGAAGTTGATTTTTATAGACTGCATCATTATCTGAGATCCACCAGGCCCCCTTGGAAACAGAACAATGCACCACTCGAAAACAGCTAATGCGTAAAGCATCTCTGATGGAAAATTGTTTCTCTTTAATAAGGTAACAAGCTCTAACTCTAAATGCAAATCAGACTCGTGTGGGTCACTCCAGCCAGGTTATATAGACATGAGTGAGTCACTGCTTTTGATGCCCAACTGGCGAATCTGAAGGTTTTATAATGGCTCCTATGTGGCTGCTGTGGACAGAAAGGACTCTGGTGCTAAGCAAGAGAGCAACTTTGGTCCTTCTTTAGCTTCAAAGAAGGAAAAAATGGGAGACTTTTGCTGAATAGAAGACTCTGTTCTCAGAGTTGCAAGAGGATGAAAGATGAGCAAAAACAGTTATGTGAGGGAAGAAAAGAAAATATTCAACCATAATAAGATCCGTGATGGAATATAAACTGAAAAAAAAAAAAAAAGTAGCTATGAAGAAAAGTCACAGAAGAGAAAGATCATATATTTAGCTGGAAAAAAAAACCGAGGAAACCTCTTTCGATGAGCAGTGTCTAAGATGGCCCCCCACTGATCCTTCACCATCTGGGCTCACACCCTTGGATAACCCCCTCCCTTCGAGTATGGGAAGGGCCCGTGTCTTGCTTCTAACAACAGAATATGGCCAAGATGAAGGAATGTCACTTCTGTGATTAGATTACATAAGACATACCTCCCACCCTGTTAGCAGACTCTCCATTACTGGATCCAGTGAAGAGAGCTGCCACAGAGAGAGGCCCATGCAGCAAGCAGCTGAGGGCGGCCTCTGGCCTCAGCCCAAGAGCCCACAAGGAATCGAATACAGCCAACAACCACATAAGCGTAGCCTTCAGATGAGTGACACCTTGATTACAGCCTTGAGAGAAACTCCGAGCCATGCCCAGATTCCTGACTCAAGGAGAGCCTTATTTCCTCACAACACCTTGGACACCAAATGCATGGGTTTTCCGCACCAAGCAATTCCCTAATTCTCAGGCTGTCCTATAATTTAATTCAATTCTGATGCTTACCTACCTAGGCTTAGCACAGACCTCACAGGTTAAGGGGTCAATCCCATGAGACTGCCCCCAACTTCAGACACCAAATGTATATAGTGGGTTTTGAGGTTACCCACACTTCTGAGTTGGCTACGTATTGGGGAGAGGAGTTCCCATGATCCTCCCTCCTCAGGTTCAATAATTTGCTGTAATGGCTTATAGAACTCATGGCAACACTGGATGTACACTTACAGGTTTAGTGCAAAAAACTTAACAAAGGATATAGACGAACAGCCAGGATGAAGAGCTATATAGGGCAAGGTCCTGAAGGATCTCAAATGCAGGAGCTCTTGTTCCTGCACAGTGGGGTGCCCCACTCTTCCA